GTTTTCACAGCTCCCCAGCATTTGACTCAGGCAGCGGCCAGTCCTACCCCCAACCCAGAGCTCACACACAACACCACTGGTCTGACCATTCAAACACACGGTGCCAACCAGAAGAAAGGCCCCCACGATGAGGAAGCGAGTCCCCACGCACCTGCCTCGCTGTCGACAGTTGGGTCCCCGCTTTACCAATCCCCACAGCAGCTGCATGGGGAGGGCGCACCTGCTGTCTGTTTCCAGGGAGGAAATGGGGGTGCCAAGGGTCCCAAGGTGAGGAGCCGCAGAGCTGACAGGTACGTGCACCTGGACCTCGGCTGTGCTGCCATCAGGAAACACTGCAAGAGGCTTTGGAGCTGTCAGGGACACACTCTTCTCGGGTGTCTGTTTCTGTGGGGTCCGTAGGGATCTCTCAGGTATTTCCCAACTTGGAAGGCGCACACAACCGACAGCAGTGCAAGCAACGCAGGTGAGCAAGCAAGGCCGGTCCGTGCAGATGGCCAGTTCCCACCGGCCCCAGCCAGCTCCGCGTCTCTGTGTGACCCCGCGTCTCTCTCTGTGACCCCGCGTCTCTCTGCGACCCCGCGTCTCTCTGCGACCCCGCGTCTCTCTGTGACACCGCGTCTCCCTGTGTGACTCCGCGTCTCTCTGTGACTCCGCGTCTCTCTGTGACTCCGTGTCTCTCTGTGACTCCGCGTCTCTCTACGACTCCGCGTCTCTCTGTGACTCCACCTCGGCGGCCGATCACCTGTGTCTGTGCGGACTCCGAAGACTCCTTTGAGCGGCTGTAACATCTTACTAGTCCCCTAGTTCACTAGAGAGTTACATACAGTCTGACACATGTCCATGTTCCATTTGTATGAGAAACAATGATGTCACTTTTCAATTTTTTTTTAAGAGACTGACATCTAACACCACTGCTACTAAGTGTCAGGTGTCAAATGCTGGGGACTAGAGAACAGACAGCAGGGTCCCACTCTTCAGGAGTTTGCTTCTCCTGAGGGAGACAGGCCTGTAGCTAACTTTGGGGTTAAAGCCGACTCCTGACAGCTGGGGAGAGACAGGCTACCCTGACCAACCACATGTCAGATACTCTGGGAGTCACTAAAAGATTCAGTTTAAAAAAAAAAAGAAAAAAAGGCAAAACAACTGGACATGTGTAGGAATCACTCCCGGGATGCGGCCTTCCAACTGTGCATGCCACACGTTGCCACAGGACAGTGAGTCGTGCTGCTGCGGGGGTCCCATGGAGACACCCCACAGGTGGCAATTGTTTCAGTTTGAGTTTATGGACCTGGGAACCTGTGACTTGGGAGAAGATTCCAGACTCAAGTGCAGAAGGGGCTGCGCTTTGGGCCACTTGGGTGGAAGTGAGGGTGGGACATTGGACCCCTTTACATCTACTTCCCTACGCGTTCACACAGGAAAAGGAACCAAAGTGAAACAAAACCCTTCTCGGAACCTTGCCATTCAGGAAGCGCGGGGGCATTGGGCCGCCTTCCCCGGGCTTATTCCAAAATCACAATGGATGGCAGTCGCCAAGGACAGAGGCCTGGAAAAGTGTGATGGGAGCGCACAAAGGGAGCACTGACTCTTTCTGGGAAGGAGGGTATGGGAGGAAAGGGGACAGAGCCGTCAGGCGTGGGCGGGAGTGCCATGCTGGAGCATGCACTGGGGCATGGGACACCGGGGCGTGGTCACCACGAGCCCATCTACATGCACAAGAAACTTGGAGTTTACCCCAGAAGTAAGAGGGGAGGAAATGAGAGGAGCTTTGAGGCAGGAGAAAGGCACTCAGATCTCTGTTTGTCACATATGGCTCAGATCCAACATGGGGAAGCCGACAGTGGAGAGCCCTGGGGTTGGGTTGTGGCGGGGGGACCCTGAAACACACTGAGGCGGTGGAAGCAGTGAGAAAAGAACCCGACCAGAGAGGCACAGCAGGCGGGGCAGGGCGGGGACAGCCAGGTCACACCAGCTCGTGGGACAGACAGGTGGCTGCTGAGCAGAGGCAGGAACAGGACCCTGAGGTCAGGAGTGCGGAGAACGCAGTGGAGGGGCACAAGATGCCAGGTGTACAGATCAGAACCGGGCAGCAGAGGGTGGTACCCAGGGCCCGGGACCCCTGTGCTCAGGAAGCCCAGCCCGAAAAGCTGGCCCGGACCTAGGGCTGGGAACGTGAACTGCAAACAATGCCCTATACCGACATAAAACGCTTCTGCATAACGACCAGGCATAGTGGCGCACGACTGTAATCCCAGCACTTTGGGAGGCTGAGGCGGGAGCCCAGGAGTTTGAGACCATGCTGGGCAACATAGCAGGACCCATCTTTATTTAAAAAAAAAAAAAGCATAGGCCGGGTGCGATGGCTCACGCCTGTAATCCCAGCACTTTGGGAGGCCGAGGCGGGTGGATCACGAGGACAAGAGATCGAGACCATCCTGGTCAACATGGTGAAACCCCGTCTCTACTAAAAATACAAAAATTAGCTGGGCATGGTGGCGCGTGCCTGTAATCCCAGCTACTCAGGAGGCTGAGGCAGGAGAATTGCCTGAACCCAGGAGGCGGAGGCTGCGGTGAGCCGAGATTGCGCCATTGCACTCCAGCCTGGGTAACGAGAGCGAAACTCCGTCTCAAAAAAAAAAAAAAAAAAAAAAAGCTTTGGGGGCTGGGCATGGTGGCTCATGCCTATAATCCCAGCACTTTGGGAGGCCGCAGAGGGCAGATGACTTGGGGTCAGGAGTTCAAGACTGGCCTGGCCAACATAGTGAAACCCTTGTCTCTACTAAAAATACAAAAATTAGCCAGCCATGGTGGAAGGTGCCTATAATTCCCAGCTACTCGGGAGGCTGAGGCAGGAGAATCGCTTGAACCCCAGAGGCGGTGACAGCAGTGAGCTGAGATGGTGCCACTGCCCTCCAACCTGGGTGACAGAGTGAGACTCTGACTCAAAATGAACAACAGAAACACATTAAAAAGCTTTGGAATAAAAGCTGCTCACTGCGCCCAAACTGTGTGTGCGTGAACAGGATGCCTTGCACTTGTGACGGTGAATTCTGCGGCCCCTGACTGGGCACAGGAGCCCGACAGCTGGCTGCAGGTGATTTCTGGGTGTGCCTGTAAAGGTGCTTCTGGAAGAGTCTGTAGACTGAGTAAAGCAGACGGCTCTCCCTGAAGCAGACGGGCATCATCCGGTCCCCCGGAGGCATGAAGAGAACAAGAAAGGGGAGCAAGGCTGTGTTTTCCTGACTACCGAGCTAGCCACCTTCTGGGCCGCTTGCTCCCAGCTCTGAGGCCTTCAGACTGGCACTGGAATCCACCCCATCGGCTCCTGGCTCTTAGGCCTTCAAGCTGTGCCACAGGCTCTCCCGGGCCTCCAGCCTGCAGATGGTGGATTGTGGATTTCTCAGCCTCTATAATCTCATGAGCCAATATCTTCCAATAAATCTCTTCACACACATACACACACACACTCACACGTGCACACTACTCTTTCTGTTTCTCAGCAGAACTCTGACTAACGCAATGCTGACCACCTGCTCTCCGGCTGGGAGTCTGGAATCTTGCTTTGTGTCAGATAGCAGGAGTTGGCACGACAAGCCCTCGACAAAAACCCTAAGTCATCACAATTCGTTGCTGGACGAACTGGGAGAGGGCTCTTGGGAACTTGGACTGGTTTCTTCTGGAATTCTCCCCATGAGCCTTTTTCCTTGGCCAAGTCTCCTTTATCCCTCCGGTGCAGGGCACCAGCTGTGGCCCCAAGTGCAACCACATGACTAATACCAGGAGTCCTCCCAGCACATCATCACACGTGGGGATGGTCTTGATGACTTAACGCAGAACACAGTCAATGACTCTTCAAATAAACACATCAGGTAGGTCAAAGTCAAATGGCCCCCAAAATGCTAAACAAAGCATACATTTAATATCTCAGATCACTAGCTTTCAAACATTTTCAAAGCCACAGAATTCCAATACATGTAAGGTTGAAGGTGAAGCTGAACGTGTTTAAGCAGCACAGAAATCCACCTCTCTCGCTTACCCTCATAGCCCCGGCACCTGATCCAGTGCCTGCACTCCGTGGGATGCCTCCCATAAATATGTTGTAAATGGAATTAAATAACCTAAGTTCAGATCATGAAATTTACTTAACATGACACCAACCACGGAGAACAACAAAGAGAGCCTGCTGACCTAAAAACACCCACCCAGCCACAGGGAGAACCTCAGAGGTGACATGTGACACGTCACACCAGACTCAGCTTCTGTGCAGTTCCAATCTGAAATCTGCAGAATATCAGAAACGCCCTTCTTTTTCTTACCGACTTGTGGTCTGGAAGCAGGAGTGTAGCCCGACCAGGAAGGGGTTGCTGGATGCCTGCTCAAACACGTGCTTCTCTGTCTGTACCCAGTCGATGTCCTGAAACAGAAACCAGAGAGTGGCAATGAGGCTTCTGAACGCTCTTCACAGGCACCCTGGACACGGGGGAGGCAAGGGGGGAGTCTCTCCCCTCTGCTTTCGGGAAGACAATGCAGAGAGGAAAAGAAAACACCCATTAGGAACTGCATCACCACCAATGTCACCATCCACCCCACCTCCACCCACACCACCATCATCCCTGTGGCTGTCACCATCACCACCACCATCACCGTCATCACCACCCACCCCACCATCATCCCTGTGGCTGTCACCATCACCACCACCATCACCGTCATCACCCACCCCACCATCATCCCTGTGGCTGTCACCATCACCACCACCATCACCGTCATCACCATCCACCCCACCTCCACCCACCCCACCATCATCCCTGTGGCTGTCACCATCACCATCACCTTCACCACTGCCATCACCACTACTGTCATCACTGTCACCATCCACTCCCACCATCATCGTCACTGTCACCATCACCACCACCGTCATCAACACTGTCACATCCACCCCTGCCTCCACCTCCACCACCATCATTGTTGCTGTTACCATCACCTTCACCACCGCCGTCATCATCACAATCACCATCATCACCACCACCATCTCCACCACAATCACCAAAGCCACCAGCTCTGGTGGTATGCTGGCCTCTGGTCTCCGGGCTTTGCCCTAACAGTTCCGGGAGGCAGGTATTATTTCCAGCTGGGACACGAGGAAACTGCGCTGGAGGGCTAAGCAGATTCTACCAGGTCCCACAGCTACTACTAAGCCTGGGACAGGCCCACACCCATGGCCAAAGCACTGGCTGTAACCACAGGGCTGTCAGCCTCCTAATTCACCCTGGAGTTCAGCAAAATGCTGCAAGGTCAAAGTCAACTTCAGAGTCACAAAGATCCTACAGCTTGGTCTCATCTCGACCCCAGGAAGTAGAGCGGGACAAGGCTCCCAAGCCCTCCTAGGTCAACCCCTTGTCTTATCTTCAGGGTTAGAAAAATGACAGTGAAAAAGATGCGTCCAAGATAGGCTGGAGTGCAGGGGTGCGATCACCGCTCACTGCAGCCTCGACCTCTAGGGCTCCAGGGATCCTCCCACCTGAGCCAGCTGGAGTGCAGGGGTGTGATCACCGCTCACTGCAGCCTCGACCTCTGGGGCTCCAGGGATCCTCCCACCTGAGCCGGCTGGAGTGCAGGGGTGTGATCACCGCTCACTGCAGCCTTAACCTCCGGGGCTCCAGGGCTCCTCCCACCTGAGCCGGCTGGAGTGCAGGGGTGCGATCACCGCTCACTGCAGCCTTGACCTCCGGGGCTCCATCGATCCTCCCACCTCCAGGGGCTGAAAACCTGGTGGGTTGGCTGTGACTCCTCCACTCCTCCACCAATGGCCCTCACCGGCAGCACCCACCCACTGTGGGCCTGCAGGGACGTGAGTGTTGCCATCATGACCTACATAGCCCTCAGCAAAACCAAGTGGACCCTCCTGGAGGCAGCGCTGCTGAGTTCAAGGCACACCCAGCTCTATGTGGGGCTGGTGCAGCACAACTGGTGGGAAGCGGCTTGCCAGTGACCCTCCCCGGGGAACAAGAGGTGAGCCTGGCCCCAGAGAGTGCAGTGTCTTTGTGGGGAGAAAGAAATTTCTAGAACCAACCATCCAAGCATTCAACAACTCCTGGAATCAGGCTCGTCTCGAAAGGGAATCCGAGTCCCCATCTGTACATCCTGGTGCACAGGGAATGATTTCAAGACAGAACAAAACCGCAGCAGGGACTCCTGCAAATGCCTTTGTGAGGTCCCGCCAACTTGCTCTCATATTTCCCATTAACCTTCCAGCTGGCTGGGGTGGGCTGCGAAGGGGGTGGGAATTGTCGCGTGCTGCCGCTGGCCAGCAGCAGGGCTGTCAGCAGGGCACCACACCTCTCAGGCCTCCGTTCCTCCACGCACGGCATGGACGCTGGCACCCACTTGTGAGCTCAGCATCCAGGAATGAGGGGTCGCTGGACCGCCTGTGCACTACACAGATATGGCCTGCTGGGAGGGCGAGTAGAGGCTCAGCCCCAGCCCCAAGCCTGGCTAGCAGGGAGGGAGCCCCTCTGTGGCCCACTGGGGCTGGATAAGCACCCACCCAGCTGCCTTCTGTGCTCTCAGCACTTGGTGACAGCAGCATTCCTGCCACCCACACATCGGCCTTTTTTCTGCTCAGAGACACAACCTGCATTCAGCTATAAAAGCGAAGGCCAAAAATACAAGAAGCCAACAAGTGCATGAAGACGCTGAAATCATCAGAGAAACACCAGTCAAAGCCCCAGCTGCACGCTTGTTAGGATGGCGATCATCAAAATGACATGTGCTGCTGCGGACCTGCAGAAACAGGCAGTGTGCTGCTGGCAGGGAGGTGACATGGCGCGGCTGTGTGGGAGACAGCCTGGCAGGTCCCCACCGGTTAAGCAGAGAATCACCACATGATGAAGCAACTCCACTGCTAGGTCGTCTGCACTCAAAAGAACTGGAAATAGACTCAAACGGATTCTTGTATGTGAACTCTGCAGCAGCACCACTCACAACAGCCAAGAGAGTGGATGCTGCAAATGCGCCTCAGCAGCTGCATGCACACACGTGGGGTACCCACCGTCCAGCAGGACAACATTACCCGCCAGGCAGAGGGGAAGGCCTGAGGCGGGCAGAGTGCCACCGTCCAGGGGGACATTACCCGCCAGGCAGAGAGGAAGGCCTGAGGCAGGCAGAGTGCCCACCGTCCAGCGGGACATTACCCACCAGGCAGAGAGGAAGGCCTGAGGCGGATGGCCCCTGAAGCCAGACACCAAGCTCACAGACTCTGTTTCGTAAATTGCGCAGAAGCGGGAAGTCTGCAGAGGCAGAAGACTGATCGCAGGCCACTGGAGCTGACGAAGAGGGGAAGTGGGGAGTGGGGAGGGGGTCTTCTTTTGGGGTGAGGAAAACATTCAAGCCATGGGAGAAAGATCCAAGATGGCTGATCACTAGCAGCTCGGGATTGCAGCTCCCACTGAAAGAGCAGAGAACCAGAGGACGCCGCACTTTCAGATCAATTTTTGTTGCTCACGCACCAGGAGATTCCCAGCGGAGGAGCCCCACGTGTTGCCAGCGCGACTCTTGAGGCCGGTGAGGCGGTTTTGCCGCTGCCTTGGAGCAGCGGTTCTTGGTGCAGAGTCAGAAAAGCACCATCAATCTTAACGCCGCTGTTTTGGCCGGCGCAGTGGGTTGCTCAGATTCTAGTGCCGGGAATCAACAAGTTGGACGTCCATTCAGAAACCCAACTATAAAGACGGTAATTATAAAGACCACAGATGGATAAATCTATAATGAAGGGAAGAAACCAGCCCAAAAAGGCTGAGAATACCCAAAATCAGAATGCCTCTCCCTCTACAGGGGATCACAGTTCCTCATCAGCAACAGAACAAGGCCTGATGGAGAAAGACTGTGTTCCATTAGCAGAAGCTGACTTTAAAAAGTGGATGATAAGAAACTTCTGGGAATTAAAAGAACTTGTTCTAACCCAATGCAAAGAAACTAAGAACTTTGAAAAAAGGTTTGACGAAATGTTAACAAGAATACACAATTTAGAGAGGAATATAAGTGAATTAATGGAGTTGAAAAACACAACACGAGAACTTTGCGAACTATGCACAAGTTTTAACAGCCGAATTGATCAAGCAGAAGAAAAGATATCAGAGGTCGAAGACCAACTTCATGAAATAAACAAAAAGACAAGATTAGAGAAAAAAGGATAAAAAAGAACAAGCAAAGTCTCCAAGAAATATGGGACTATGTGAAAAGACCTAATCTACGTTTGATAGGTGTACCTGAATGTGACGAAGAGAATCAATCCAAGCTGGAAAATACGCTTCAGGATATTATTCAGGAAAACTTTCCCAACCTAGCAAGGCAGGACAATATTCAACTCCAGGAAATACAGAGAACACCACAAAGATATTCCTCAAGAAGACCAACCTCAAGGCACATAATCGCCAGATTCACCAGGGTTGAAATGAAAGAGAAAATACTGAGGGCAGCCAGAGAGAAAGGTCAGGTTACCCACAAAGGGAAGCCCATCAGACTCACAGCAGATCTCTCAGCAGAAACCCTACAAGACAGAAGAGAGTGGGGGCCAATATTCAACATCCTTAAAGAAAAGAACTTTCAACCCAGAATTTTACATCCAGCCAAACTAAGCTTCATAAGCGAAGGAAAAATAAAATCTTTTGTGAACAAGCAAGCACTCAGAGATTTCATCACCACCAGGCCTGCTTTACAAGAGCTTCTGAAAGAACCACTACACATAGAAAGGAACAACCAGTATCAGCCTTTCTAAAAAATGCCAAAAAATAAAGAACATCAACATAATTAAGAAATCGCATCAATTAATGGGCAAAACAGCCAGCCAACATTAAATGACAGCATCAAACTCATATATATTGTTATTAATTCTAAATTTAAATCAACTAAATCCCCCAATCCAAAGACACAGACAGGCAAAAAAAGCCAAGACCCATTGGTATGCTACATCCAGACCCATCTCACATGCAAGGATACACAAAGACTCAAAACAAAGGGATGGTGAAAAATTTACCAACCAAATGGAGTGCAAAAATAAATAAATAGAAAGCAGGCATTGCAATTTTTGCTGATAAAATAGATTTCAAAGCAACAAAGATCAAAAGAAGCAAAGAAGGACATTACATAAAGACAAAAGGATCAATGTAACAAGAAGAGCTAAAGATCCTAAATATATACGCACCCAATACAGGAATACCCAGATATATAAGACTTATAAAGAGACTTGGACTCCCACACAATAATAGTGGGAGACTTCAACATCAACATTAGACAGATCAATGAGACAGAAAGTTAACACCGATATTCAGGACTTGAACTCAGACCCAGAACAAGTAGACTTAATTAACATTCATAGAACTCTCCACTTTAAATACACAAAATATACACTCTTATCAGTACTACAACACACGTATTTACAGGTTTAAATGAAATATTGGTTGGGTGCTTGTTAATTATTTTCTTCCCTCATTTTTTTTTTTTATGTCTCTATTATTAAACACAATTACAGGCATACCCAGTTTTAGACTGCATTCTAGCCCGGGCAATAAAGCAACACCCCTATTCTCTCTCCCTCTTCCTCTTCCTCTTTCTTCCTTTTCTTTATTCTTTTCCTTTTTTTTTTTTTTCTTTTTTTTTTTTTCTGGAAAAAAAAAAAAAAAAAGGAAAACATTCTGGACTCAGACCGAGGTTAAAGGTGCCTAACACCATACCCAATGTTTGAAAAGCCGCCTAACTGCACACTTTATTTCTTTATTTGATTTCTTTATTTTTTTAAGACAGAGTCTCCTCTGTCGCCCAGGCTGGAGTGCAGTGGCGTGATCTTGGCTCACTGCAACCTCCACCTCCTGGGTTGAAGAGATTCTCCTGTCTCAGCCTCTGAGTAGCTGGAATTACAAGTGTGCACCACCACGCCTGGTGAATTTTTGTGTTTTTAGTAGAGCTGGGGTTTCATCATATTGGTCAGGCTGGTCTTAAACTCCTGACCTCAAGTGATCCACCCGTCTCAGCCTCTCCAAGTGTTGGGATTACAGGTGTGTGCCACTACGCCCGGGCGTTTAACTATACATTTTAAAATAGCAATTTCTATGTCATGTGTATTTTACTATAATTAAAAGAAAAAGGTCTATGAAGTCAGAATTAAGATTTCAACGAATAGGCCAGGAGCAGTGGCTCATGCCTGTAATTCCAGCACTCTGGGAGGCCGAGGCCAGCAGAGTGCATAAGCACAGGAATTTGAGACCAGCCTGGGCAACAGAGCAGAACCCCAACTCTACAAAAAAACACAAAAATAGGCTGGGTGCGGTGCTCACACTTGTAATCCCAGCAATTTGCAAGGCCAAGGTGGGCAGATCACCAGTTCAGGAGTTTGAGACCAGCCTGGCCAACACAGTAAAACTCTGCCTCTACTAAAAATACAAAAAATTAGCTGGGCATGGTGGTGGGCGCCTGCAGTTCCAGCTACTTGGGAGGCTGAGGCAGGAGAATTGCTTGAACCTAGGAGGTGGAGTTTCCAGTGAGCCAAGTTCATGCCAATGCACTCCAGCCCGGGCAACAGTGTGAGACTCTGTCTCAGGAAAAAAAAAAAAAAAAAATCACAAAAAATAGCCAGGAGTGGTGGTGCACACCTGTAGTCCTTGTTCCCCCGGAGGCAGAGGTGGGAGGATCACCTGAGCCCGGCAGGAGGTGAGCCATGATCACACTTTGCACTCCAGCCTGGGTAACAGAGTGAGATGCTGCCTCCACAAAAAATACAAAAGTTATACAGCTGGGGGAGTCACCCATGCCTGTAGTCCCAACACTCCAGAGGCTGAGGTGGGAGGACCACTTGAGCTGGGGAGTCTGAAGCTACAGTGGGCTGTGATCAAGTCACTCCAGCCTGGGTGACAGAGTGAGACCCTGTTTCAAGGGAAAAAAACAGATTTCAACAAATAAACCATTGATCCTATAATCAATGAACATCTCCCCCAGAAACAGCTGACGTGGGAAGGTCTGCTATAAAGAGCCACAGCAGCTCAGCGTGTCCCGAAAAGCTGTGGCCTCGTGCAGGACAGAGCTGGGCAGAGCCTCTGGGCTGCTTCCTGTCCCACCCCATCATCCACCCAGTTCAGCTCAACCCCAGTGATTTCCTAACAAGGGTGAAAACATCCTTGGAGACCAGGACCCCCACCTTCACCTTTTCTAAGCTCAGACACACACATGCTCTCTGTGTGTCCACTCGTGGCTGTGGTGTGCAGTGCGCTGACCGCCGTACGGACTCGCAGCTACCACAGAGTTGGCTGCGCTGTGCAGGTTTGTGCAGCACACACTGGGATGTCCACACTACGGTGCAATCAACTAACCAGGCACTTGCCAGAACACATCCTGGGTGCGGCACGCACGACTATTGATTTTGCACAAACTGCGTCAATATGAGGCCAGGGCTCTCGTGCACGAATTAATTCCGCTAAAGCCCGGAGCGTTCATTACGGCCTTTGACTGTCCTCTTCCCAAGGAGGTGGCCCCAGGGCAGGACCTGTGTGTCCCAGGACCCTGTACCCCATGAGAAGTGGCACCTACCCCAGGGTGGCGTGTCCCGGGACCCTGTGCCCTGTGAGAAGTGGCACCTACCCCAGGGTGGCACATCCCGGGACCCTGAGCCCCATGAGAAGTGGCACCTACCCCAGGCGGCATGTCTACAACCCCCTGCCCCATGAGAAGTGGCACCTACTCCAGGTGGCGTGTACAGGACCCTAAGC